TTCCAGAAACAGAAGCAGTAACAGAAGCAGAAGGCTACGCCGCGAAAGCTTCTAAACAAATACTCCCCAAAGTGCAGTTCGTAATTAACTCGCATTTAAGAGTCCGCACTTCTGGAAGTTTCACTTCCCAATTGCAGTTGCTCATTTTGATAGTTTTTGATTTTGCAAACACTTTGGAAAGTTTGCGAGAAGCGGAAAACTTGCCAATCTGTTTAATAACCGTATCAAAACTTCAAGGAGGACACTCGGAAGGAGAACAATCTTCGTCGCCTGTTTAATTTGCCTCATTCGGGGGGATCATCAAACTGTTAGCTCATTTGTCACAGTTTGCCAGCGCGAAACCAGCGAAAATGTCAAACTGTGCGAGACACATTTGACTTTTGGTCAATCTATCGCTCCACGGGGGGCGCAACCCCAGAAGGGGGGAAAAACAGCGGGAAATCGGGCAAAACTGCAATGCGACGGGAATGGGTGTTGATTTTCTCCTCTTTTCTTTTTTGAGGGGGGGCAACGGAAGGGGAATAATGCCCTATATATATGTGACCGGTCAACATTGCCCCCCTCCCCCCTCGCTGGTTGTAATTTGGCATCGTAAATGCTGTTTTGCTTGCCCCTGTTTTAGTTTTCCCTCCATCGCTTTTCCCATGCATCAACACTTTGCATTTTCCGATAGATCGGATAATTGTTATTGTTGTTGTTATTTATGCGTTCCATCTTTTGGTTTTTGGTTATGATTTTTCCCCAAACACTGGTTGATTTTTCTAGTTTACGAGACCCCCTTTTACAGCCTTTTACAGTTTCGAGAATAATTTCCAAATTTAATTTCAAATTTTACCCCCTTTTTAGCTAAGCCCCTGGGTGGGTATTCCCTGACATCCCCTGTGTGTAAATGCCGAAATCCAAAAGCTTCGCCCGATTTACATTGTCAATAGAAAGGCATTAGGATAATGCTCGAAAGCCACACCAGGACAAACAATGCCCCCCCTCCCTTCCGGTGGCCCCCGCCCATGGCCATTTGCGGGTCAATCAATTTTTGACGCATTCAAACAATTGGCCGGAAAAATTTGATTTATCTAATGCGGTCGAAGCTTCGTCGGCGCTTCGATTCGGAAATCCTTTATTAAATTAGCCCTGTATTACGGCCATATTATGGTATGGCCAATAGATAATGCCAGCATTTAGCTTTTGATCATCATTTTTGCCAGGGAAACCAAGCCAAATTAGAAAAAAAAAGGAAAACAAAATCAAAGAAAAACATTCGATCCTTTTTCCTCCTTTCGAATTGCCATTTTTCTCGAATATTTGAGAGAGAGAGAGTGGGAGAGAGAGAGATTTGCTAGCCAAAGGCGCTTACTGGCTTATAAAATGGCAATCCAGAAAGCAAGCTTGTTAACGGAAAATGTGCAGTGGCAAACGAAAGAAGATTTTCAGTTCGTTCCGAGATTGTGTGGCGGAGCAGGACCAGAACAGTTTGACAGGACATCGAGAATATGTCCCCCGAAGGGAGAGTCAACGGGCGAAATGGAAACTCTTTTTCCCCAGTCATAGACACAGGAATAACACAGCATAATAATCGTGTCACAATGTTGATGAATCCCCCTACCCCCTGTGCTGGCCCCCCGAAAAATAACTGAGAGCAAACCGCAAATACAGAACGCAGAAACCGGAAAGAGATATGCAGAGGAAAACTAATCGAATTTTCGTAGGTGCACCACCAACACCACCCATAACTCGACTGCGATAAAATGGTTACTCTGGATATCATCGGCAGCAGGATTATTTCCATCCATCAAGCGATAATCGAATGGACGACACCGGAGTGAAAATTAACCCAACAAGATGAAAATTTTGTTGGGAAAACTAACAATTTGCGATGGAATTTATCATACGGGTTAGTTAAACTTTTTCTCTACACTTTTTCTCCCCCACCCCAAGCAGTGATCGTTTTCCGATCAGACTTTCGCTTTTCTTGGCTATTTCCAGACCCGCTCTGATTACCGTACTCGAGCTTAATTGACTTGCTGTTATGAAACGCACTGTGCCGCTTTGTTTACCTTACACAGCCGACTAGCCATAGCCATAGCCATCATCATCATCATCAGCAGTCGCTCTATATATGTATATATCTCTTTCACAGTCAATTCCCTTGGACAATCTTTATAAATTATTTCGCTTCGCAGCTCTTTTTTATATTTTTTAACATTTTTGCGCCTCAACCTTTTTTCCATTCGCCATTTAAACAAACAATAATGAGCGGGAAGAGCTTAAAAAGTGATTTCATGTTCGTTTCTCGCTCGTTTTCATAACTTTTGGTGTTTGTTGTCTGTCTTTCTTGTTGGCCCCAAAAAGCGATTTCGCTGCACTGTTTAGTCGATGTCACTATAGTTAATGAACAGAGAGAGAGAGAGAGTGGGCGGCGAAGGGCAGAGATATTGGCAATGGGATGCGATCCGGGATCCGGATGGGTCCTGAGGTGCACACAACAAACAGCAAGCTGAAGCCAATTATAAAACTGTCGTGGCGCTCCTCTCCTCCTCCATCTGATGCATCTTTAGTTTTTGGCTTCGTGTGTTTGCCGTGTAACCCGAGATGATGCCAGAAAATATCCATTGGAAACACACAAATGGGCTAAAAAAAAGAAATGCAAGAAGGAAGACCAGAAACTGGCCAAGGAACCAGGACACTGAAAGAAATACTCTCTACTGTTCTTAACACTAAAAGAAGCAGCCATTAGAAGTCACTGAAATTCCCCACAAATTAGTTAAGAAAAAGGCATTCTAACTTTAATTAGCATAATAATTACTTTAGAAAAGAACCATTTTAGTTTCAGTGTAAGAACTTGCTAAAGGCAGGGAAGGCCGGGAAGGCAGGGCGGGGCAACAAGTGCGGAAAGACAAGGCGAAAGTAAAGCAGCTGGACAAACAATTTGCATTTTTTGTCAGATTTCTTGGTCGTGTTCTTTTCATTTCCCCGTTTCTTAGTCAGGCCAACAGTTTGACATCCACTGCAAAGTGGGTGGTAGTGAGAGGTGGGGGGAGCACCTGCAGTGGCAGAAACAGATGGCTCGAAAAACAACAAAAAAATAAATATATCTGTAAGAAAAGAACGGACAGAAAAGCGAAGCAGACGCAAGACGATACAAAGCTCACAGAAAATTCAGCTAATTCAGCACTTTCCACGCTCAGCTGCAGTTGATCCGCCCAACTACCGCACCCACCTCCACCCCTCCTCGCAAAGACAAGGTCAGATTGCAGTGAACGTAAACCGAAAATATCGCAAAAGTATTTATAAACAAGATCAGGGGGTTTCCCTTTCCCCAACACTTCTGATTGCCTCTGCAGTTACTCATTTCCGTGGCATATCGCCACACAGTAAGAAAAAAGTGGTCATTTAATAGCTTAATTTGTTTGTGTTGGACAAACGGATACGTTCTGCTGTTGCATTTCCGATTAAATTTCAACTTCATAGATAGATTTACTCTATGCCTGGCCTGCTCCCTATCTGTAGGGTTCAATTTGCAGAACAATTTCAGGCTCCATGGAACGCCCCCGCAAAACCAAAGGCCTTCAAATGCAAACAGCAACACAAACGGAGCCTAAGGGACTCATTGTGGTGACTACACTCCGTCCTCACCCCGCACCCCCCAGAAACCGAGAAACCCCTTCCCTCTCCACCGACAAACCCAACGCCATAAACTATTCAGACGCCTCATGTTGAAAACCCCAGCGCAAATGTGAGGTTATGTGCACTGGCCCCCGCGAAATTCAAATCGGAAATTTGTTGATTTTGTATTTAATATTTGGTTTGGCGGGCATATAATACAATGCAAAATATAATGTTTGGTTCGCCAGCCCCGGGGGCAGGGATTTATTGTACAAACAAATCACCGCATTGAAGAATGTTTCGTGGGGTTTCGTGAGGCTTAAAAATATCTAAAACATAACTTGTGGAAATATTATACATAGTTTATGTATGGCCATTCTGATACAAGTTTATGTTTCGAATTGAGGTATTTAGCTAGATATGCATACAGCATTCTTACGTGTCGTTTGCAGACTTCAGCTCAATCTTCTTTAATCTGTAATATCTCAGAAAGACTCAGCTGAATGATGATGCATCGCAGAGTAAAAAAAGCTTTTCACAGGGGAAAACAATTCAAATAAATAATACTATAAATGGGAACCAATCTGGAACTTCCTGGGAAAAGATAAGATAAAGAGATACGATAAACTATGTAATCGGATATTTTCCTCTGCCCAGGCAGCTCCTTGGCAACATTTTTAATCAGCATAATCGTAGATTTTCCATGAACTGCGCGATATGAGACAAACTTCTCACTTTTTCCGCTGTAATAAAAACTGCAGTAAAAAAAAAATCACGCAACTCAAGTTCTAGACTCGCGAGTAAAGCTCATTTAACAGTTATGCTTATGCTTAATGATTCTGGTTCCATTTTTATAATTTTCACACAGAAAACACAGAAAAACGGAAAAACAATACGAATTCCAGTTGATCGTGGAAAAGCGTGAAATATTTTCACACTCCAGAAACAGAGAGGCTAGATAAGCTGGTTTTATTTTTGCCCAGACGTTTTTTTTTTTTTAATAAATCAAATTACAGTGAAAACTCAAGAGGATGAAAAATTTTAGAATTCAAAAAGCAAACGGTTCAACACTGCAGACGCCTCACTGTAGATCGAATTTACTATGTTTGCTTGCCTTAATTTTGATAAGTCGAAAAATTGAGAGCAGCAAAACAGAGAATCGAAGAAATGCAGCGATCGATCATTCGAATTTCGAATTCAAATTCGAACGCGAGGGTTCTTTTTTCGAGTTGCCTTTTGTACGGCTACTTCTTGTTTCGAAGTTCCCACGGCTGTTTGTTTTGTACTTGTTTTTCGTCAAAAAAAAAAGAGACGAAGACGAAAAAACAAAAACGAACGAAACGTAGGGGAATGCAAAAGAACAAGAAGCATTAAGAAGAAGAAGAAGAAAAACTTACCCGCGTAACAAAAAAAGCAGCTGTCCCAGTAGCATAGCAGAAGCAGCGCTGCAAGCAGCGAAGCCGACGGCGGCAGCGACGGCATCTCAATGGTCGCTGTTGCTGTTGCTGTTGTTGTTTTTGGACGACGTCGACGCAGCGACGACGCCGCGGATTTGTGCATTTGTTGTTGGCTTTTGGTATTTCTTGGAGTTTCTTGATTCTTTTCACCCGTCTTCCTTCGCCTTTTCTACTTTTTAGTCTAAGGTCTAGTTTTAATTACACATCTCTCACATCTTTTTGGCTAAAACATAAAACAAAGCGAAGAAAAACATGAAATTTTAAACGTCACTCTTGGAGTTTTTGCTTTGTGCCAGCCATTTGCGCACACACAAACACATACACACGCACACACAAGCACACCTGCCACAGGTAGAAGCAGAAGAGCGTGAGAGAGGGCGATCAAAAACGAATTGTGAGAGAGAACGAATGAGAACGAACACAAAAGCAAAAACCAAAAAAACATCTCTCTCTCTATCGCTCTCACTGTTTTTGAACCCTTTTTCTTTTGGGTTTTTAAGACTGGTTTTTGAACCCGTTTTCCACATGCAATTCTCTCATGCACACACTCACTCACACACACACACACTGGCAAATATTCGTGGCTAAGTAACATTTAATAAATTTGCTTAAATAAACAATGTTTATTTTATTTCGCCTAGCTTTTTGGCGGCATATTTTCACACACAGAACAACAACATAATATAACAGAACAAAAATCCAACAAAAAACGCGATCGGTGCGAAAGAGACGGCGCGCTCACTGCTTACTGCTTACTACTTTTTCTTCTTCTTTACTTTGGTAAATTTGATGTATGTATTGTATTTTAATTAATTTGTTTTTGCCACTAGATAGGTAACAACAAAAACGTCCAGCAAACGCCTAAAATCACAACAATTAACAAAAACTCGAGAATCCGGTAGTCAGAGGTCGCAAATCGCAGTTCGCAATCGCAGAAATTGCAATTTCGTCGACGAGCAGCCGAGAAACAACCGTTCACTACGCGCACAGAAAACAGACTGCGCTGCCTCTGACGCAGTGTCTGCTGCTCGCTGTTCGCTGCGACGTCGCTGCTGCTTGCTGGCTCTGCTGCTTCGGCCTCTGCCGACGACATGCATAGTGGGACGCGTATGTTAACAAAAACGAAGCAAGTGGCGCAACCGCAGAGAGGGAAATGTATGTGGGGGTAGGTAGTAGTTTAAATTAAGAGATAATCAAAGCGTTTAATATATAATATATAAAAGCGTATATATTATTTAAAATAAATATTTTTAAATCAAAAAGAAAAGCCTCGTATTTATATAAATGAAAAAAAAATACCTACAATTTTGTTTAAATTAAAAAATAAGAATTATAATAAATAACATAAAAATCTAACAATAAAATGTTGCAAAGTCGTTAACAGAACTATAGTCTAAGTTTCACGTTAATTATAATCTCACAATCAAATCATATCCTTCCCACTGTGCAAAATCCACTCAAAACCAGCACACATTCACTCGAAATAGCCAACTTCGCTCAACTTCGAGAAGCGAATGTTTGAGTGAAATCCGATTGCCGTTTGATTGGCGAAGTTCACAAACGAAATATATTATTTTAGTTAATTTAAAAATAAGTAGGTAGTATCAATGATACAAAAATATTTGAGGAAAGGCCAGAATTTCAATTGCTCTTCAGCTTTTCATTTTTTTAAAACAAATTAAAATGCTGCTTCAGTTTTAAGTAATTAGTAAAGAGTGCTCCAGTTGCAACTTCTGACTTTGGCTCTGTGGCATTGTGAAGTTGCAGGAGTGTTTAATGGAAAATGCATGTACAAATATGCAAAATAAATAAATTCCGATTACGCTACCCCCCTCGTTTTCGCTTTTCACCTTTTCATTTTTTGGCGCATACATTTTTAAAGTGTGTTAACAACTCATTTTGGCTATTAAACTTGGCGTTTTCTCCGCATTAAAATTAAACACACACACACACACACACAGAATGTATGCAAAATGTAATGCAATTGTAAGTTGTGTGCGTGTTTTCCCATTTTCCACACACACACAAGTTGAAGAAAGAGGAAGCAGCGCAACACGCAGGGAAAGATGAGAAATAAAATGTGCATTTCAAAATGCACTTAAAAATTGTTGTCGCTCCTCTGCGAGTGTGTGAGTGTGCTCGTTCTGGGCGAGTGTGTGTGTGCGTGTGTGTCCCGCCAGAGGTCACAGGTCAACTTCGTCGCCTGCCAATTAAAACTTTTTATGCGCTGCGGCGGCTCCACACACAGAAAACGACCAGACAAACAGCCTTTCTAGAGCTGGCAGTTCCCCACTGTGGGATGATACTCCATTTATAGGGTATCAATAATATATCAGAGTTTAAATTGATATAGAACCCAAATCAACATATTTTTGAGGAACAAGAAAATGGTTTGAGATGATTAGAACGAAACCTTTAGACATAGTAAGAGAACCTTAAACCCATCTAACTTTCCAATTTGATATGGAAATTAAAATTGATTTTAAATAACGAATTTAATATTCGTGAGAATCATCAGTCCGTGTCACGCTCTCGTCGTCAGTAACCACGCACACACACACACACACACACACGCTGGCAAGCGCATTTTCAAGTAACTTTATTAATGCGATTTCAGTTAATTAACAACACAACAATTAAGCGGCCAAGGGCCGGCGAGAGGGGCGAGGCAGCGGGCTAGGGGACTCGCCGAAAAGAAGAACTTTTTAATCATACATATATATATAAATTTATGTATATGTATATATATATATATGCATATGTATATGTATTTATAAAGAGAATAGCTAGCGAGAAGTGCACTTGCCGTCAATAACGAGTGAACGCAAAGTTCGAAAAAAAAACAGATCAATATTATTTTTAAATTTAAAGTTATAAGAAATATTTCCAAAAATATCAGACTGTGGCTAATCAGACTTCCTTTAATCCCCTTTCCCTATCAAATCGATCATTAAATGCCTTTTCCGTGAGTCATTTTCCATCATCCCTTTTCACTCGACCGAACAAAGAACAGCAAAATACAAATAACCAAAAGTTACTCAACTGTTTCACTCAATTTCAGCCACGCCCCCCTTTGCCCACGCATGTGTCGTATTGTTTTGAGTTGGAAATTTTGTCGTTTGCGCAACAAGTTGGCAAAATTCAACCGACGCCGAGATTCTCGGCGACTGTGTGGGTGTTGCCGTGTAAAGGCGTTTGAGTTAATCTTTCACCACTTTCACTCTTCTGTTTGCCTGCCACACACACACACACACACGCACACACGCATGGGGACACATAAACACACAAAGGACGGACAGGACACACGCAAATCGGAAATCCAGGCAAAAGTTTTCTTTTGCCTATCAAGTGGCAAAAAAGTGTTGCCTACCTTTGGGAGCTGAAATATCAGACTAACGGAAAATCAGGAAAGTGAGAAAAACCCATGAAAAGTGCAAATCTAGAATGCCCGGGAAATGGACATCATTTTAAATGGCTGCCCAGAAAGTTGGACAAAGCAAAAAGTTAATTAAATAAAGCGGGAAATGTCATTAAAATGCTAAATTATGGAGTTTTTCATTTCAGTTCAATTTTATAAAACGAAATCCAAGGTAAAGGCTTATCTATTAATTAACTAAAAGCTGAAGTAATAATAATGGTTGTACGTACAGAAAGGCTTACAGGAGCTGATGAGATTTTGGTTAGAATAATACCATTTTTGAGGGGGAAATCGGCATTAACCGAAATTTGAAAATTGTTCTAACAGAAAATTAACATTTTTTTGGCTTTATATCTTTAACTTGGTCAAAATAAGACGCACAGCTAAAAGGATGACTGTTTTGTGAAGCTATCGACCAAATCCAGCGACCCTCATCATTGTTTTTTTTCGATTTTGAGAAATTCATTTTATGGTTAAATTTTGGATATTTTGTCAGGGGTAACATTGTCTTTTTTGGGAAGAATGGCAAAAATTTGACATTTTAAACTGTGAATGCAGTTTTATTAGGAATTAAAAAACGAACTCAACGAGGTATGGCATTTGATATTTGGACCATTATTGACTTAGTTATGGATACAGTACTGTCTTGTTGAGAAGGAAAATTTGAGTAATCAGCTTTCGCATTTTCGATAAGGGGTAACATCATCAAAATTTGAGAAAAACGGATAAAATTTGACATTGTAAACTGTGAATGCAGTTCGAATGGAATTTTAATTGCGAATTCATTGATGTATGACATTCCATATTCCGACAATTATTAACTTTGTTATGAGAATAATTCTGATTACTTTTGGCCAAAAATCATTATTTTGAGTTTCGACAGATAATGGTACTATATCGGATCGGTTTTATTCCTATAACTTAGCCAAAACAAGCCTCAGAGCTAAACCAAAGACTGTTTTGAGCAGCTTTCGACCAGAACAAACTTTCCTCATCATTGGTTTAGAGATTTTGTGAGTTTGAAATTTTAACACATTTTAGGATTTTCTGTAAGGGGTAACATCATAAAATTTTTCGAAAAATGGAAAGATTTTTACGTTTCAAGGTGGGGACACAGTTTTGTTGGAAATCAAATTACGAGCTCAACGAGGTATTAGATTCAAAGTTTGGACCATTATTGCCTTAGTTATGAGGAGAATACTACCAATGTTTGGGGGAAATGGGGAGAAGCCAAATTTCACACTTTCGATAAGGGGTAACATCATCAAAAATTATGAAAAATAGCAAAAATTGAACTTTTCGAGGTGGGTATACAGTCTTGTTGGAAATTCGAAAACAAACCCAACGAGGTATTACATTCCATAATCGGACCATTATTGGCTGAGTTATGGGAATAATAATGTGTCTTGAGGAGAGAAATGAGATAAAGGGATAGGGGTAACATCATCAAAATTTGAGAAAATCCACAAAATTGTGACTTTTTGAGGTGGGGACACAGATCGATTGGAATTTAAATTACGAGTTCAACGCTATATCACATTCTACATTCCGACAATTATTGGCTTTGTTATTGGAAGAATTCTTGTTAGTTTGAGACCAAAATCAGGATTATGGATTTCGACGGAAAATTATCATAGTTTTGGTCGGATTTATTCCTATAACTTGGTCAAAAGAAGGGCTCAGACCTAAAACGCAGACAGTTTTGAGCAGCTAACGACCAACACAAACTTTCCTCATCATTGGTTTGAGGATTTTGTGGATTTAAATTTTTAACAAATTTTTGGATTTTCTGTAAGGGGCAACATCATCAAAATTTGCGAAAAATTGAAAGATTTTTACGTTTCAAGGTGGGGATACAGTTTTATTGAAAATTAAATTACGAGCTCAACGAGGTATTACATTCCATATTCGAACCATTATTGCCTTAGTTATGAGGAGGATACTACCTTAGTTTGGGGGAAATGGGGAGAAGCCAAATATCACACTTTCGTTAAGGGGTAACACCATCAAAAATTATGAAAAATAGCAAAAATTTTACTTTTCAAGGTGGGTAAACAGTTTTGTTGGAAATTCGAAAACAAACTCAACGAGGTATTGCATTCCATATTTGGACCATTATTGGCCAAGATATGAGAGGAGGAAAATGGGAGTAAGAAATTTTCGCATCTTCGATAAGGGGTAACATCGTAAAATTTTCTAAAAAAAATGGCCCAAATTTGACATTTCAAACTGTGAATGCACTTTTGATAAGAATACGAAAAAAAAGTCAATGAGATATTACATTTCATATTTGGCAGCAAACTAATAATATTGACTTGCCCAGCCGCTGTAAGGGGAATTACAAAGTCAAAAACAAAACATAATCACATTTAAATGATCCACTTAATTAAAAGGGAAAAGAGAAATTGGGAAAGGGAAGCTGTAACTCTTTTCACGTGATTGAATTTGAAAGCGACGGAACACGACCTTTTTTTTTCAGCTATTAATTGTAATTGTAATTGAAAAAGCAATTCTCATGCTCCAGATAGCGATAGCCATCTTGGTATTATTTATTCCTACATTTTGTGTCATTGCAATTTGACTCTTCATTACAAATTCCCCCAAAAACCCACCGACACCGACACCGCCCCCGACGACGACGAAAAAAAAATAAAACTTAATTATGCCTAATTGAGTTAAATGATTAACGGAGCATTTCACTCCCCATTTCCATTTCCATTGCCATTTCCATGTGACCTGTGATCCATTCAATTTCCACATGGCCAGTCGATTGGTCAGTCGGACATGGCTTAACACTCAAATTGATTTGAAATGTGCTTAAAAAATTATGCTACATACGGACGCGGCAGCAACAAAACGGCAAAAACATCAACAGAAAGGTGTGCGAAAGTGTGTGTGTGTGTGGGTGAATTGGGAAATGGAAAATGGAAAATAGAAAAAAGCACAGTGAAAAATAACTCAGAAAAACCTTTTAGCTCCCCAGATTTGTGTAGTAATCTTAACTTCTTAGCCTTTCAAATTTTCCAACTTTGGTTTAAGATCAAGCTTAGTTTAATCTTCCCAACTAAGCTTAGTTTTATCTTCAACCTAAACTTAATACTCTTTGATTTCTTTCAGCGCAGACAACAAGCAAGCGAAATGCATTTGAGAGAAAAAAAAAGGAAAAACAAATCACAACCGGTCAACCAGCCAGCCAGCGAGCAGCTCCACTCATCTGACCTCCATCCACATTATTTGGAAACCCCTTTCCAGAGCCAGAAGCCCAGGGGGGTGTTGGTGTTGACAAGCTCGTTGGCAAATCACACAAAGTATGCAACAAAAACAAACGGAAAAATCGTGGAAAACAACAGGGAAATTGGGATTTGCAAGGGCTAACCATTGCGTAATGCCCTTCACTTTGAAATGGAAACCTTAAACATGGGAAAATTGCATTTGGAAATGGGAAATGCAATCAACATGTTGGGTGACTTTTAAACTTTAAAACTAGAAAACCTTCTTTTTAAGTTTTTCAAAACAAAAAAAATCGATTAAATATTAAAACTTGACAATCGTGAAATATCGCAAAACCGAGAATATCCAAAATGATCCGAGGAGAAAGGGCATTATCCTAATCCCGACTAGCAGCTGTCAAATTTATTTGCACACGAAAATCCATCTGGCTTGGGCCACGAACCGCAACTGCTACCACGTGTCCGAGCCCCTTCCGTCCCGAACAGCCGCGGGCGACCCTGGAAACTCGGAGGGAGAGCGCAACAAGTTCCTGCAGTAGTCATTCCAATCCAATTCCTTTTATTGTTGTTGTTGTTGTTGCTGTTTGTTCTTCGGCATTTGCAACTTTTGACCCCCTCGAGTTCGTGTTGCCAATCAACACCTACCCCCTGCCGGGGCTGCCGCCCCATGGCCGTGCCATTTTGACAGGGATATAAGCCAGGACTTTGCGTTATTGGCATTCGTCGTGGATGTGGACGGAGACTTCGGGACTTTAGGATGCAGATGGAGATGCAGATGCAGATGGTGATGGAGTTGTAGCCGTTCAATGGACACACGACTGCGGATGCGGATTTGCGGATTTGCGGACATGAACTGTCGTTACGGACACGAACACTTTTGGCTAATCGAATTTAAATTTCTGTCAAATGAAGCGCATCTGGCGAATGCAATTGCAGATTGCAGAAGGTGGCAAGTAGAGCTCTGCACTTGAAGAAAATGTGTGACCCAGACTTTAGGCTCATCATCATCTCGTTCCTAAAAACTCTACCAAAGACTGACTCTCCTGAACAACCCAACCAGCTGCAAGTTTAGTTTCTTTCATTATTAAACTTTTCTTCAAGTGTAAAGTGGGTGTGGCATGCCCACGTGTTAGAGTGTTTGTATGTGGCAGCTTATTTAATCAAAATTCCTCTTTGTGTGACTAATGCGACATTGAGTGAGCGGCGATGAAACGGCGGAACGGAAAGGGGCTAAACCGGAGGATCGAGAAGTTCTTAGACTTTGGTTTGTGCATCGTAAGTGGTGGGCGTGGTCCCGTGGGCGTAATTGCCGAAAACTGAGGTGTCAATGGCATATTGCAAACACATATATCCATGGCAAAGCCATTGGCTGTCATTGCTGGATGTCGATGTCGAGCATTGTTAATCTGACACTTTATCGATTAACGAAATTACAACCGGCCACTTGACTCTGGGGTAACAGAGTGGCAGACGGCCAAGGGGCGTGGCAGCCATTACAAGGTAACTAACTAACTAACTAACCGCTTAAGTTGTCAAAAGCTGTTCCCCCACAAGGAATTTGCCGATAATCGCTCAATTAGTTGCGGATTAATGAGGGCTTTGTTCAAAAATCAGCTTCTTTTCATCGACAAAATTTGATAATTTAAAAATTAAATTAATTTAATGGCAAATGTTGGATTTTTTAAACGAGAAACAAAAGCCTAGCTAGCGATATTTGATCATAATCTGTATTAGTTTCACTATATCAGATTAAGCCCCAGTTAAGCCTTCATTAAATCTTCCCTTTTTCCAGCTTTAGCGAATTTAATTTAAGCTCCTTTTTTGTATCGAAGCTTACTTATCGAGAACTTGTGATTCTTTTCGATTAACTCGCCTCCAGCCTTTCCCTCGATAAGCAATTGCCCTTCAATGCCCGCCTAGTGGGTGGGTGGCTTGGAGGAGCTGTTTGCGGTTTTCGACGAGGCGCCTGCCTGCTGCATTGCGACAAGTTGGAGCTTCTATCAACTGGTGTCCAATTTTTTATGGACGGGTAAAAATGGCAATGCGCGACGCCGTAAATCAGGAGTGCCGTTGGTGTGCCTGGTGGCCTCCAGGTGGTGGGGATTCCCAACGGATACGCCCCGGTCAGGGGCAGACCCACCTGGCAGACTGTGCTTGGCCAGGCCAGCAGCAGCAGCAGCAGCAGCAACAGCAGCATTGTTGCGGATTGTGGCATTGTCTTGCGGCATGCGACGCGCATAGTGGTGCCAAAGCAACTTGAAAATGCAGGAAATATGAAAAAAGAGAAGGCGGTTTTCGAATACCTCTCATCTAGAGAGTATTTACTGTGCTTTTGCACCTTGTTCCCTGTTTTTGAAGCTTCTGTCTTCGATAATTAGAATCGAAAATAAGAATTCTTCAGCGATTTGGATCCAGGGTTGACCGACCCCCAGTCGGCGATTGTCATTGTAACCGTTTGTCAATTATGTTTCGCATGCAGCTGAAAACGTTGCATTTCCGACGCCGCCGTTGCCACTGGCCAATGTCGAGTGGCGACGAGGCGACGTGGCCAAGAACAAAAGACGGCCAAAACAAAGGACACAAGAGGGAGGGGCGGCGGTGGATAGGCCACCACACCGTTTGGAAGCATGAGAAGCACGAGCGGAGGGAGGGGGGCAGGTGGATATGGCAGGCTTTAGCCGAGTCTGGTCTTCGGTCTGAGCCCAGGCATCCGGAAGTTTGCGCTGACATTCATTACCATAATTCACAACAGCTTAAAACATTTATGTGGCTGCCGCCCCGAGCTCGCACAGGCAGCCCAAACACCCACCCCCTTTGGGTGCCGCCCATGCTGCAGTCTGTTGTTTGCGTTTGGATTATGTGCAGGAGCATGCAAAAAGGGATAATAAGGAAAACTTGAAAATTTGTTGCAATTATTTTAACTGCTTGGAAATGGCCGTCACCCCAGCAGCCCAGCAGTCCACCAGCCCAGCACCCCACTGCCCTACCCCCCCTTCAGCACTCCACTTTACAACTTATTTCTGGGCTGGCTTGGTCCTAATGTGGCCCACGTGCCAGGACCTTGAAAGTCCTTCGCCAAATGCTACACAGCTCGACATCCATTTGATATTCACATTCAAATGCACATGTTTTCCATGTGTTTTTCTGTGAGTTGTGTGAGTTTTCCATGTGTGGAAAACCTTTTTCGCCAGCTTATATATCTCTGCTCTCCAGAAAAATCCTAACTGCCAACTACTTTCACATATTACTTTCGATTCCTAACTATATACTTTCGATATAATTTTGTCTATGTGTACTCTGAGTGCAGCAACCTCGAAAGACGAGGGCGAAGCAGTACTTTTGCTGTGCTGGCCAAGCGAAAAATGAGGAAATAAACTTGGTTTTGATAAGAGCCAGCAAGGCAGCAAGGCAGGGAGTGGAAGTGGAAAACTTTTTCCTAATATGACTAATAATTTCCCTAAACAACTCACAGCACTTAATTAACTTAAGTGCTGAAAAACCAATACTCTAATCACACCGATTTTATAGATCAAAGTAGGCTTTATAAAGTTGTCTTTCAGTAGTCGTTTTTTCAATCGGTTTACCCCCTGCCAGTATTCAGATTTGGAGCCTCGTGTCTAGCACTTTTGAAATAAAACTTTTCAATTTTTCCAAAAAGCAAAAAAAAACTACGTAAGTTCTTAAGAAGGTTTTCCTAACCCCAACTATTTAACACACCTACAGAATATGACCAATCAAATAAAGACGGAGGATCAGGTTAAGATCAGTAAGATTGTCGAAAAATTGGTCAAGCAAAATTCCAAACGTACCCGTGACATATTGCTGAGTTGCCCGGAATTGTCCGGCAGCCGGGCGGCTGCGGAGTTGAACTCATTGGTGCCACGTGACGGACCAGCACACACTTACCGAACTGGTCAGCTCTTGAGCATCGGACGACAAGTGGCCCACCGTATGGTGGATCCCAGCCAGGGTGAGCTGATGCCCAACCGTGGCCAACTGGACGATCGCCTACGTTCCGCTGGAATCTATCACAACCGGCTGGGCCATCCCTATGTACCACCTGGACCTATAGGACATGCCGAACTGGAGGAGGGTGGACAAGGTGACACCGATCCCAGCAAGTCTAACGCATCCAAGGGAAACTAAATGGTTTTAACGGACCCATTACCAAGTTTATCACTGGAGTCCGAAGTGCCAGCGAGCTCGTGAGATGCAGCAAGATGCAGCATGACGACTACCTAAATCTCTATTGCCCAGCTCCGCATTAAATCAGTTTTAATCACTGACATATCCAAAAATAGTTTCCTTTTGGACGGGGATGACCACTAGAGGGGATGCCTGGATGTGGTCATTACAGACCGAACTAAATCCCGAAAATCATTACAAAAGTAGGTGCCACCTCCTCGTGTACGTACGTGATACTGGATACAGTTAATTATGTTGGTTATGGTCTATAGTTCTTGGCCAAAATGGGAAACTAAGCCAATGACAGATGCTGTCGCTCTGCCTGTCCCAACTGTCTCTCTTCGTTTTCATTCCGTGAATGAAAAATCCCAGCGGTACGTCTCTCCCCTGCTATCCACCACTCTTCTATCCCGTATCCGCGTCCGTGTTTTTATGGCCACAGATTTATGAGCAGCTAATTTACTAAGCTAATTTGTTGAAATTTAAACACACTTGCAGCTGCCGGAGGCGGTGACAGCCAGCTTGTGACATTTTTCAGAATGCGAGAGATGAGATGAGATGCGCATGTGGGTGGTGGTCGTTCGTTCGTTCGTTCCCCACTTTGGCCAGTCCCCTCCCCCCCTTTTTGCGTTGGCGTTACTTCACACGCACCACACAATTCCATATGCAAATGTGGGCAGAAGTGGGGGAGTGGGCCAACCACCTGCAGAGCTTATCTCCGGTTGCCGAGTCCACCAGACACACGCCAAAAATCTACTGGCCATGTTGACCAACTCCTTCTAAAAGACAGAAGATGAGTTTTAAATAAAAACAAAGTGAAAGCATTCTGAAGATTAACTATTAATGAAGTTAAACTGTAATAACTCCTGCCCATTTAGCCACCTTTCTTGTGCAAATCAAGTTATGGTTTTTCCGAGTGTACGCTCTTGCTGAGCAAAAATGCAACCACATCGGACTCATTTGGGAAATGGTGCTGCTTGGCGAGGATGAGGGACGAGGAGGAGTGACAAGAAGACAAGTCACGGCGACCACAGGCCAGGACTCACGTACCGTTGAAGTCTACCATTCATTGTCCTTCGAAAGTCGCTTATCGCTAACTCAGCACTTCAAGGAATTTACTTTTACCAGTCATCACTCTGGGAACCATCTCCCAAAGGGTTATTGTGAATGGTAAGTAGGAGTCAGATCCGAAAATCACGTACTCCCCGGGATGCCTTAGCTATTAATTATCCTTCTGGATCTTAACTGCTGTTTTGTGTTTTAGAAAGTAACTTTTGTCGATTGCTATTAGAGCACCCATTCTATGCTGAGATCATGTTTCAATTTAAAACGTTGGCCTATAATATATTCCTCCCACTTTGCGGACCTTGGGCACCTGCAACGATACAGCTTCCTTCCAGGAGATTTCTCTCATGCATATGTAAAACTATATTCCTGATCAATTTAGTAGCACGCTCCCTTCCATGTCCATGACCATAATGAAAATGTTTGCAAATCGCATAAGAACAGCAGTCGACGGGGTCAAGGGGCTGCTATGCCCATGGGCGTGGCATACAGAGGGGAGGGCCCCAAGAGGGTGAACAATTGTTACACGTATTCATTTCAAGCGCTTTATGCGTTGCTTGTCTTTCGGTTTTACACACAGAAAAAAAACTGATAACTAAAATATTATTAAGCCAAGAACCTTTTCCCAATTTGCTGTTAAAAATTATTTGCCTTCTTCTCCTTCTTGCCACATTTAGTAAATACTTTTACTAACTAACTGATTATTCCATCATTTTGACCCTGGTTTTTTGTTGTTTTTTGTTTGTGTGTGGTGGCTGGCTTTTGTTTTCCCTGTGAGTCCTATCCACTGTCCACCATCATTGTGCCTGACACAGTTTTTGTTGGCTCAGTGGCTTGGGCCCAGTCCCTCACTTTCCCTCCTTTCGCCCTGCTTCCGCTTTCCCCGACTGGCACTGTACTGCACTGCACTGCTCAACTGGCTGGTGTGGCATGGCGTGGCATGGCGTGCCTGTGCGCTGACAGTAAATGCTGAAAATTGAGTGCAACTTGTCGTAACTTTATTTTCAAATATATGCGGAAAGGACTAACCAGACAATGCACAACACACTCATACACCGGCATCCTTGCACTCGTACTCCGCATAGCCGCACTCAATGAGAAATGTGTGGCGGCGCGCATTTAACATGTAAAATTCAGGCGACCAATGTGGCGCCTCCGATTTACATCTCTTTTAGCTTTTGATTTGAATTGAAAATCCTTCCTTACTTTCATTGAGACATAACTTGGAAATCCCTATCCTTCCTTATCTATATATAATCATAATCCTGGTAACATCTTTCCTGACACCTTTGTCGCCTGCCCCACATTCATATGTGTGTGCTAAGTGTTTTGCAACAAAGTTTTTGCGTGCTTTTGTCTGCCGACTACCGACTACCGACTGCCGACTGCCGACTGCCGCCTCCTGGTACTTCGTCCTGGCATCCTGAAACCCTTTGGAAGGGGGATACCCTTCCGCTGCGATTCCTGGGCCACGGGCCATCACTCCGGCTCCGGTGTGCGAGTCCGGGTGCACGGATACGGCAACGGCAACGGTTTCTGCTCGTGCTCCAGTGCCATCTGCACACGGAAAGAAAAACTGATATGATATGCTGATCAATTTGTTGATCTTCTCAGATTTCCCAGTGCCAGTATCATCCAGGGCTAACCAAGTGGTAAGCAATGGCATAATATATGAATCTGATAAATCTTATATAATATCAAGTTTATAGCAAACTGATTTCCTTTTTCTATCTGTGCAGCTGCTCCGTTTACGGCACTCCATTGCTCGGTCTCGGTCTCGTCTGCATAAGCTATGTGGTCTATGTGCTGTCTCCTTTCAGGCTCAGGACCTTTCTCCGTCTCGCTTTCTGCGGTAAATTTAACGAATATGCAAGTCCTGGACAGCTCCTCTTGTTCATTTCGGGTCATAAGTTGCCAGTGAAGTTGTTTAACCCTTTAAGGATTCCAAATTGTCTTGAAAAATATCATTTATTTTATGGGTAACTGCAATTCTCTGGCAAGAAAAGATCCAGAATTGTGAAACCCTTCTTTGGTTTATATTTAAAAAGCAGTCACGCCATAGGAGGGAGGGTAGTCTAGTCCCGGGTCATTTTTCTGACAGCAGAACAAACACGGGTTAATAGTGACTCATGCGGGCACTGGACACTTGCCCAAGACCGACGATCAACATTGACTTCTGTGCTTTTACTTGGCCACACTTTACCCGACTGCCACGCCCACTAGAACCTACTAGTTCCCAACAGACGGCCACCAACCTAGCCCCCCCTAGGCACGCCCACACACTCGACAAATCAATTGGCAATCAATGGACGATGTCCGCTGGTTGTGGTAGTCAATAAATTGCAAGAATTTCTCCATCTCCATCTTCTTCTTCTTGTTCTTCTTTGTCGATGGCCGTTTTTACCGTTACGCGTTAAGTGGCCATAAACGCTAAAGGAGGGAATAGAAGATGGAGAGGAGGAGATGTGTAGAGGAGCAGAGGTTTACCGTTGCATTTACCGTTATGCAGCTGAAGTATAGCTCCGATTTGAGTTCATTTTGTTGCATTTTCCTCGCTGCTCTTGCCTTTGCTTTGTGTTGCCAAAGGAAAGTGTTCTATTCCAATTAAAGCGTTATCTATTTCTTTCCCACCTTCCCTTCCTCTCACCCCCAAAAGTTTTCCACCTGAGCGTGCGTGCGTGTGTGTGTGTGTCAAATCGAGCATTTAATGGCTTGCCTTACGCTTTCTGGGCAGATTTCGTTACCTTTGGCCTGCTGCAAGGACCGATGGATGATATTTCGCCCCACTCGCAAACAATGTTGGTAGTGTCGGAAGCAGTGCCCGAGAACCATCTCGGAGGTAGGAAGAAAAAAATGGGCATCCTGTGTAGAAGAAGGTGGAAGGGACCTCTTTGAGTTTGCATTTCTTTGCCCGGCCAACCAATTTGAATATTATACCAACAAGGAAAAATGAACAAAAAAAGAAAAAGACCGGAAAAGCTGCAGGGAGAAAAACGATCAAAACGACTCCTGATGCTCTGCCAGGGACTGTAACTTGAATATTAATTATTATTTAAAACACATTTTAAGTTGCTTAATAACTAAGCCACAAACTGATTAAAGTACCAAGAAAGTCTTAAGATAAATTCTAAGATTATATCAAAAAGCTAAATAATCTGAAAAAAATTGATTTTTCAAAGTAGCTTAGAGGGACAAGAATGCGGACCACTTGCAAAGGAATTTGAGCTAACATTTCACCGAAATGTCTAAGGACATTTTGATGGTCGAGAATACCCTTTCACACACACATATCCCCACATACACACACAGATGCAGGTATTGTGTGTACGGACAGCCGACAGCTCAATTCTCAGCTGGAAAATGCAGAATGGAGAGGGAAAGGGCGAGAAGGCGGGGGGGAGGGCAAAAACACATCTCTTTTGAAACCCAATGCGCCTTTGGCCTTTGATAGTTCGTTCAAACCTGAGTGAGGCAAAAAATTGAGCCAAAAATTGTAATAGAAATTTTTGTTCTGGCACATTGGCAAATATCGACAAGTGATGGAAGTTTCCCCTTCGGAAAACCCTGCGGCCTATACGAACTTTCCTACCAATTGCCCAATTGCGTGTGGGCTTAAGAATGTTTCTTAAATTGCCATTGTCGATGGCTGATGGCTGATGGCTGATACCTGATGGCTACCTGCCACTAGGTTTCCAGTAAATTGAAGTATAGATAATTCCCATGAAATGCATGCAATTTGAAACTGCAAAATTAATGCGCATTTGCAGTTTGTTTCCCGGTAAATGCCATGCAAATTAAAATTGGGTATTACACGTGTTTACAAAACTACTAATCATGCAGTTCACTAAGCGCACACAATGCCCAGCCCCTGCATGCCATATATTCCCCAGATAGTTAGCCGGCTTTTAAGCCTAATGGGCTTGAAGACAATTGGTTAAAAAAAAAAGAACTTAAAACTTAAATACTTCTAAATAGAAGCTGATTAAGTTAATCCAACAGCCTTAAGCTTGGCTCGCTTTTATACAAAATTTAAATCTGACCATCTACGCGAGTAGATATCAAATTCAGCTTGCTTATCATTTTAATTGGGTAACACAATACTTCCAAGCAGAAGAAGCTCAGCTGATGGCCTGGCCAGGGCCGCACACAAAGGAAAAGCTGCCTGTACTATATACAGGACCATGCAGGCCATATGTCCCGCAGATCTAATTAAAAAATTAATTTAATGCAAATAAAACGGCGGCGATCAGGTGACAACTGTTGCACCACAGTGTGGGGGCAACACTGTCCCAATGCTAGCTGTAAAAATAACAGACAGACCAGTACGAGTGCGGCACGTTTGTGCTAATGGCAATACAATTAATTTGCATTAATAATTGAGTCAACGCTTCAAATTAAAATGTATTTCAATTTGAGGCAGACGATGGCTGATGGCACACGACGGCCCTGAGTTGTTTTGAATTTGCATGCGATGTGCAAATATTTAACTCAATTATTAGCCCAATGAGCACTGATATCTCCGATTTAATTGTTTACCCACTGCACACACACACACACACACACATGTTTACACACACTGCCTGCTGCTGGCCAGGCCAGTACACACGGCAGTGTGGCATATACGAAAATCAACTCGTTTTCACAAACTCAACCATGGCCATAAATAAGTATTTTTTAAACTAATTACCAGGACCATCAACGACGCCTGCAAGTCTGACTGTCTGACTGCCTGACCGGCTGGCTGGCTGGCTTCCTCCTCTTGGGCTTTTTTGCTCCGAATTATTATTATTATTAAAGTTTACATTTGATTTGCTTGTGCATTCGGTTGCGGGCATATATCTTATATATATATATACATATCGTAATATAACTCAAATTAATTTCAATTTGCCGTAAATTATTTGACGCATTCGCACAGCCATGTAATTTATGCAGCATTTAATTGCAAAACTTTAACCGCAAACTAAGCGTAAGGTAAACAAATCATCGAATTTATATATTTTCCATGTCCCTGATCAGGAATGTTCTCTGTGTTGAATGTTGAATGTTGCATGTTGGCAATTAGTGCATGCCACAGCATTATCCATCGAATGCAATTTCTGGAATTCTAAGGATTCATTGACAGTTTTCCACTAAGCAATTTCAGTTTTTATGGGGGGCCACATAACGAGGGAATAACTTTCAGGTCTACCAGCAAATTCTCATCAAGATTTAAAATGAAAATCCTTCGTTTAATTCCAATTGCCAGCACCTAAGAAGCACCAATTGTTTTCCTGCGAATTTCAAGCATAATTATTGAATTATTTTTACATTTGCTATCAAAAGACAGTACTTGGCTTTATCAGGGTATTGTTTTCGCAATCCAATGCAATCCTTTGTTGGCATTATGGAGGAAACTGGCAAGCACATTGTTTGCAGATTAAGATATATATATTCGGTGTAAGTGGACCGGCATTCCTAATGAATAATTGAAACTGGCTGCGGCCCGAGCACCTTTTCAGCATGAAAATTCCAAGATGCGAACATATGCGAAGACCCAAAAAGAGGGGCGGCAGTTATGGAAACCACACCCTTCGTCAAATCTGCGTTACGGATTGGCTAATATAAGGATATACACCAAGCACACATATATATATAAATATATGTTTGGCATTTTGAGAGTGTATGGGATCAAGGACTCGCCAGGCCAGGCACAATGGTACTTACATTTGCCACTTGATTTGCGAACTTGCCTTTGATGTCTAAGGCTGGTGACTTTTGAGGCCTGCCTCTGAAAATCCTTTTGGCATTTAATTGAATTAATTTGGCATCAGCCATCGGGGATTATATTCTATATGTGCACTTGGAGAAAAACCCAAGAGCGTTCTGGCAATTCTCAAAAGTTTAAACGGGAGACTCTGCCACAAACATATTACTTTATAAATGATTTTTCTCTATCAATCCAAAGTTCTTAACTTTAGAGGACCTTAGTTTTTTATCATGTAGCCATGGGAACATTCCTACAGGCCAACGCCAAGGCCTAAATATTTTAGCAAGCCATTGTTGGCAGGTGTCTGCAATTACCCGAAATTCAATTAAGTAATTATGAGGTCAGCGCAGGCTGGCTCATGGCAATTTAATGGCACCCCATTGACGAACACTATAAAAGGTTTAAGCCCAATGGATTCGGCGATTAAAGCATTCCGTCATGCTGTTCCGCAAACGCAAAGCAAAGGGTGACGACGAGGTGGTCACCTTCGACGAGCTCACCCGATTCCCGATGACCTTTTACAAGACCATCGGCGAGGATCTGTACTCGGACAGGGATCCCAATGTGGTCAGGCGTTACTTGCTGCGCTTTTATCTAGTGCTCGGCTTTCTCAACTTCAATGCCTATGTGGTAGGCGAAATCGCTTACTTCATAGTGCACATCATGTCAACGACAACTCTACTGGAGGCCACAGCCGTGGCACCTTGCATCGGCTTCAGTTTCATGGCTGACTTTAAGCAGTTCGGGTTGACAGTGAATAGGAGACGTTTGGTGAGACTACTGGATGATCTCAAGGAGATTTACCCCTTAGACCTGCAGGCACAGCGGAAATACCACGTACCCTACTACAGGAAACACATGAACAGGGTGATGACGCTGTTCACCATCCTCTGCATGACCTACACCTCGTCGTTCAGCTTCTATCCGGCCATTAAGTCCACCATTAAGTACTACCTCATGGGCTCGGAGATCTTTGAACGTAACTACGGCTTTCACATACTCTTCCCCTACGATGCCGAAACGGATCTGACAGTCTATTGGTTTTCCTACTGGGGACTGGCTCATTGTGCCTATGTGGCCGGAGTTTCCTATGTCTGCGTGGACCTCCTGCTTATCACAACCATCACCCAGCTGACCATGCATTTTAATTTCATAGCCGACGACCTGGAGGCCTACGATGGCGGCGAGCACACAGATGAGGAAAATATCAAATATCTACACGAGTTGGTTGTCTACCACGCCAGAGCTTTGGAGTAGGTTGAAGGGTATTTCGAAATCTGCAGAGACTTATCTGATTTCTTTTTCGAATATTTCAGCCTCAGCGAGGAGGTGAACAACATTTTTAGCTTCCTAATTCTGTGGAACTTCATTGCTGCCTCTTTGGTCATATGCTTCGCTGGTTTCCAGATTACGGCCTCCAATGTGGAGGACATTGTGCTGTACTTTATCTTTTTCTCAGCCTCTCTGGTTCAAGTCTTTGTGGTCTGTTACTACGGCGATGAGATGATCTCCTCAGTGAGTCTTTTTAAATGGCTTAATATTATTTTTATATATTTTTGGCACATTTTAGAGCTCACGGATTGGCCATTCTGCCTTCAACCAGAACTGGTTGCCCTGCAGCACAAAATATAAGCGCATCCTGAAGTTTATTATAGCCCGCAGTCAGAAGCCCGCCTCCATAAGACCGCCCACCTTTCCGCCGATATCTTTTAACACCTTCATGAAGGTGATCAGCATGTCGTATCAGTTTTTTGCCCTCCTCCGCACAACTTACTATGGTTAAACCAGTGAATCAGTCGAAAAACTACTTAAGAACATAAACAACATTGGATAATGCCTCGACTATAAGACACCTGTTAGCAAACATAACCTAACCTGTCTTTATAAATTGACATACATATGTAGGCCCTGTCTAATAACAATCTTAACAAAATCACCAACTTTCTCGATTAAATATATTGGCTTATAGCCTTAACAAAACCATTTACCAAAATAAATAGAGCCACTTACCCTAAGTTTCCATCTTATTCGGCGTTCTTATTGGGATTTCTTGCTTGTCCTTCATTCCACTTCCTTTGCCAATATATCTCCTGTGTATGCGTATATGTGTGCTTGCATATGCATACGCCATAGATAACGCCATATATGTAAATACGTAGGGCGGTCACACTTTTTCACTTGTCCCGCGAAGCCTCATGCATTTTCGCATAAATAAAATTACAATTAGAACAATATATGAACTTATGTAAGAAAAATAAAAACACTGACCTGCGATCACATCTTAAGTATTACTTTTCGTGTTCTTACCACTTCGTAAAAGCCAAAACAATAAATGTATGCACATTTTCATATGTTTGTAGTTGCTAATGCTGCCGTCAGAGCGCCACCTTCATTTTTGCACAGAACATACCTAAATAATTTACCATTAAAACAATGTACATATCGAAAGAAAATCAGAACACTAACCTGCGATCACTTCTTAAGCATTATTTTTCGTATTCTTACCACTTTTTAAAGGCTAAAACAATATCTGTTTGCACATTTTGTATATGAATAATATATGTTTGTAGTTGCTAGTGCTGCCGTCAGAGCGCCACCTTCATTTTCGCATTGAACACACCTAAATAATTTACCATTAAAACGGTATATGTACATATTGAACAAAAATCAAAACACTGACCTGCGATCACTTCTTAAGTATTATTTTGTATTCTTACCACTTTTTATAAGCCAAAGCAATATAATTATTGCTTGTAATTTATATTTGTAGTTGCTAGTGCTGCCGGAGCAGCGCCACTGGCATTTTTGCATTGCAATTAGCTAAATTCACCATTAATGCAAAATGCATTAAACAATATTCTAAGCACAATCTTGCGACCACGTTGTATTGATTGTTTTACCGATTTCTAACACTTTTTAAAAGATACAATATTTTAGCGGAGCTTAAATCTGCAACGCTTCAGGAATGGCAGCCGACTGAATAGATGTGGTGGGAAGCAGCAAGCGCGAAAGAGAGGATAACGGTTAAAAAAGCTGTTTTGAAGATCTGCCGTTTGCTTGTTGTTCTTCTTTTTATTAGTCTTCCCTGTTTGGAAGTTTAAAGTTTCAAATTAAAATTGATATTTATTAATATCGTTTAGTTTGGCGGTTGTTTTTAACAAAGTTATACGTACCTTTAAATAGCAAAAAAGTATGAACATATGTATATACATAAATGTACACATAAAAACGTATTTATACATATGTACTGTACACTGATCCAGCGGAGCACCCTTTGCCTTTATCCACATGAAATAGCTAATTTCACCATAAAAACAATATATATTAAACAAAACTTAAAACACTATCATGCAATTACTTTCTATGTATGATTTTTCCAATAACTTTCACAATTTAAAAGCAAAAACAACATGCGACTGTAACTCAGGAGGGCAGCTTGAGGAATGAAAACTAAATAGCTGAAAAAAATGGAAGGAGAACTTAAAGGCGTGGGAGCGAAAGAGAAGATAACGGCTAAAACAGCTGTTTTAAAGATCTGCCGTTTGCTGCAGAGCTGTCATGTTGTTCTTCTTCTTATTAGTCTTCCTTATGAAATTCAACTTGATTTTAAATAATTTATAGTTAAGGCTTGCGGATGTTATTAACAAACAATTACGTACCTTTTAATTTTTTGAATTAAATAGCAAATAAATAGTGAACACTATACACATAATGGATGGATAATGCATTTACGCATATAAAACAGGTAAATTCGCAAAGGAAACAATATAAATTAAACAAAACTTATAACACAGCCTTGCACTTACATTATATGTTTTATTTAATCAATTTCTATCACTTTAAATCAAACTTCAAATCACTTAAAATCAAAACAATGTGCGACTGTAACCTAGGAGAAAAAAAAACTCGTGGAATGAAAACAGAAAAGCTGCAAAAGCCGAAAGGAGAAAGGAGAACTTAAAAGTGCAGGAGCGAAAGAGAGGATAGCGCTTCCAAAGATCTTTGGCTTGTCGGTTCTCTTTCATTTTCTGGTTCCTTCTTGCAAAAGCTTTTTAAATATACAAATAATCATCACCTAACAGTCAGCAGGCATTTAAATCTGGGAATATTATTGATTGATTTCCTTTTTTGGTGATCAATAAAGCCAAATTTGGGTAATCCTAATTTTCCGATCCAACTGAAAGTAGTTTTGTCCATAACTAAGCCAATAATGGCCCGAATAGGGAATGTCATACGTCGATGAACTCGTAATTAAAATTCCAGAAAAATTGCATTCACAGCTTGATAAGTCAAATTTGGGCCGTTTTTCGAAAATTTTGATGATGATTCCCTTATCGAAAATACGAGAATTTCTTACTCCCATTTTCCCCCTCAACACGACAGTATTTTCCTCATAACTTGGCCAATAATGGTCCAAATAGAGAATGCAATACCTCATTGAGTTTGTTTTTGAATTTCCAACAAAACTGTATCCCCACCTTGAAAAGTAAAATTTTTGCTATTTTTCGTAATTTTTGATGATGTTACCCCTTACAAAAAATGTGAAAATCGGTTTATCTCATTTCTCTCCTCAAGACACATTATTATTCCCATAACTCAGCCAATAATGGTCCGATTATGGAATGTAATATCTCGTTCAGCTCGTAATTTGATTTCTATCAAAACTGTGTCCCCACCTTGAAACGTAAAAATCTTTCCATTTTTCGCAAATTTTGATGATGTTACCCCTTACAGAAAATGCAAAAATTTGTTAAAAATTAAAACTCCCAAAATCATCAATCGAATGATGAGGAAAGTTTGTTTCGGTCGTTAGCATCACAAAACAGTCGTTCTGTTGGCTGTGCGTCTCGTTTGAGCCAAGCTAGAGCTAAAAAGCTGAACATAATATTGCAAATTTCTGTTAGAAATCGGTTTCCTGATTTTTTAGCCCTTAAAACAGAGCTCGCACCAAAAAATCTGAACTATATTTATAAAAGCAAGTATAGGGGTTTAAAGTTTTGGTTGTTAGCTGCATAAAACAGTCATTGCTGCGGCCATGCGGCTTGCTTTGACAAAGTTAGAGCTAAGAAACGGCAACCAAACCGGGATATCTGCTGTCAAACGACGTATACTTAATTTGTGGCGCATTAAAATCAGTTTTTAAGCCATATTACAACCAAAAATCGTCCAAATGAAGAATGTAATACCTCGTAGGGCTCGTAATTTGATTGCTTTGATTCCCAATTGATTTGCATTCAAATCTGGAAAACTTCATTTTTGGGCATTTTTTGAAAATTTTGATGATGGTACCCCTTATCGAAAATGCGAAATTTGGGCCAAAATTGATTTTCCCAAATTCGAAAATCGAGTGATAGGGGTTGTTAGTATTGGTCGTTAGCAGCACAAAACAGTTGTTCTTTCAGCTGTGCGTCTTGTTTTCGCCAAGTTAGAGGCTTAAACCCGATGAAAAATTTGGTAATTTCTGTAAATCTCAAATTCCGGATTTTTGCCTCAAATTAATCAGAATTCTTCCCATAACAAAAACGCAGTTGATGTTTTTAAAAATAATAAATTTGAATCCGAGATTGTGGAAATCTTAAACACCCTCGAACAGGCAGCCAGATTTGCATTTTAAAGAGCTGCAGCGGAGCTTAATTTGCATGTTCATGTGGTGCTGCACCTGAGGCAGCTGTCATTTTGTTGCTGTAATTTTTAATTGCATATCAGCAATTTATAAATATTTACATCCCAGCTGCACACGCACACGAGTGCATGTCTGCATTGGCTGCACGGCCAAAAATAAATCAATAAATGTCAAAAGCAATCAAAGCCCATAAAATGTGTGTGATTGCCACGGCGTTTTGGCACTTTGAAGTGAAGTGAAGAGCGTGATAATAACGACCATTTGATATCCAAACCAACCGAATGCCGTTTATTAATGTTTGATAGCCTTTGACAGGTCATGCCAATGAAGATATCAGTAAAGGATCAATGGGCGGATACACTCCCCTCTGAAAGGTTGGTAAATCGACTTTTATCGTTAATACTTTGAGTACTTTCCTTGCCTTTTGCAACCTTTTTTTTTTAAATACCCAAATTAAAGTCTTAACTTGATTATTTGCTTCTGTTTATTTTTATTTTTATTTATTACCCTCTGGTACGCCGTCATTGTTTGCTTATTGTTTGTAATGAGCTTCGGAATGGTGAATGGTGAACTGCCCGGGAGCTCTTTATTGATTCGAAGAACTGTATGGGATGGATGGCCCCACCCATCTGGGCACTTTCTATTCGCTTTGTCCGGCAGAATCAACAACAACATGAACTTACCGATTTCATGTCCTTGACAGCTCCACGTGCTTATAAAAACAGATACGTGTCCGTTTGTTTGCACGAACTGCACAAATACACATATCGGTTGAACTTTTTCGTTGTCATTAGCATCTTGTTGGTTTTCAATTAAGCACCGAATATCCACAAAGAACAATATTTTTTGGAAGCATTTCAATTGCAGTTTCGGTGAAGACCGCTTAGGGCGCCAATTATCCAAATCGCCGAAAATGATGAATTTATGTTACTGCAAATGTGCTTTTCTTTTTAGCCTGGTTACTACTAGTTTTTGGGCTAGTTTACTAGTCCTTAACATCTTGACATCCCCCATTTGAGTTTAAAACTTGCCACCTGAATCTCGTAGTCCCAGGCACTTTAAGGATTGTCAGCTAGTTAATGCTGTTTTTGTGGCCTGTTGTGGGTTGTTCGGTGGCTGCAACTTTGCTGCATGAAAGCCACAAAAGACACATCCCCATCCAAGCACACACACACACATGGCGAACTTCTCCCAAATGTGCCACTAATTTGTGGGCATGTGAAAATGTTTCCTTTGCCCTGGCTTTTTATGGCCATCTTCCTTCGAAAGTAGAGGATAAAAAAGGGATGAATGGGGAAGCAGGGAGCCGGTGAAAGTCGTGTTAGCTGCAGGTAAGCACGTGCCAGTTGCCA